AACCCTAAGCCCCTGAACCCTAAGCCCTAAGCCCCTAAACTCTAAACCCTAAGCCCTATAAACCCGAATCCCTCCGACCGTCGTGTACGCTCCATATGGGGCGAGTCTCTCTACCTCTGTCGCGCGGAGTAAAAGGGGCTACTTGGAGGTTCCTGGGTAGGTAGAAGTGGGGTTATGAGTCCCCTCAGTAGGATTATAAGTATAATTACCCTACTAAAAACTTCCAAGGACTGCACCTTAAAAAACGAAAAACTCTGAACCCTAAACCCTGAACCTTAAGCCGTTGCAAGACCAGGGTTGTGGGAGCTTCCTCATGGCTCTAGGGACCCTTATTTGGGGGGTTTGGGGTTGAGGGGTTTATGGCTTTTGAGTTTAGGGTTTGGGGTTTAGGATTTGGGGTCCATATATGCTACATTCGGGACTCGAGCTGCGAAAGACCATCCTGATTATGGTCTCGGGACCTAAGTCCAGAACAGTAGTATGGCTGGACCCGGTAGGAAAGTGTGTGCTATACCCCAGGCCCGAATCTAGATATCAAGGCCCTCATATTCTGTATGTTTGTGTGGTACTCCCTTAGGAATATGGAGCCTCGGCGAGGGTTGCAAACCTCGAAGAACTGAAGGAGTTCGTGATCAAATGAGGAGGCTTAGATGGTTTAGGATGCATGTCGTCGGGATTTAGGGTTCAGGGCTTCGTGTGATTAACCTTGCACGCACGTTTTATACTTTCACTGATTAAGGGTCCACGTTGGCCTCATTGAGGGTGTTTGGTATCCAAAAACGACCTAAAATCACCCCTCAACCCTAAACCCCAAAATTCCACACTAAGGAGTACTTGGACCCTAGGGTTTGTCTCTGACCCACAGGCGCAGGCCATGAGCGGACGCTTCCCAGAGGTCCAGACCGAGTTTCGGGGCTGTTGTAAGACAGAAGAGATGGTTGTAGTGAGGGTATGGGTATGTAAGGGCTTATATTCATAGTACAGAATCATCATCATCATGCTAGTAAGAACCATCATCATCATCACCATCATCATCATCAGCATCATAGTACTTGATAGAACGAGGTTAAGGTTCCAAGGCATATATGGTTCCGAGACTTCACGACACACTTTTAGGCTCCAGGGAGCTGTGAAGACAAGCTTTGGGTTCAGCCCCAAACCCTAAACTTAGGGTTTAGGGTTTAGAGTTTAGGGTTCAGGGCTTAGGGTTTAGGGTTTAGGGTTTAGGGTTTAGGGGCCCTGAACCCTAAGTTACATGAGCTCTTTCTGGCTATCTGGAGCCACAGAGTCATCTTCAACTAGCACACCGACTCTTCGGAAGGGTCTGCTAAACATCTGTATTTCTAAAACTTTACGGTTCAGTTCAGGGTTTAGGGTTTCTAAAATCTGCTAATTCCACCCCCCCCACAAGGCAGAAGTTCTTGTCAGTTTAAGCAGGAGCTTTGGGCAAGCAGGTTCAGTTGCGTCACCGGCGTTTTCTCGACCCAGGTTTCGACTCTTCCCATCGAGTTGATGCTACAGACTTTGGTTTAGGGGTGTTAGGGTTTAGGGTTCAGGGTTCAGGGGTTCAGGGTTCAGGGCTTCAGGGTTCAGGGTTCAGGGTTCAGGGTTTAGGGTTTAGGATTTGGGGTTTAGGGCTTTGGGTTTAGGGTTTCAGGGTTTAGGGTTCAGGGTTTAGGATTTTAAGGTTTCCTAGACCTGAAGAAGGGACCCTTCTTAACCTTACATATGGCTCTCTCAAAAGGGACCTTAATTTTCCCCCTAATCCTAACTCTTATAAGCCCTAACTAAACCCTAATTTAGAGTTCATGATCAAATTCGGGGGTTGATGCGCAAGCCCTGCACCTGGGCCTCATAATCCTCAAGCATCCTCAACCCTCAACTCTGAACTCCATAATGTAGGAGCCTTAATAATGAGAACCGGGTTTTGGGGGCTGCTTATTACAATTATAGTACAGCATAGCTCCCTAAACCCTAAACCCTAAACCCTAAACCCTAAACCCTAAACCCTAAACCCTATCTATTAGGGCCCCTATATTAAGCCCAGTATGCCGCCATCCTCAGCCCCCATCTTGAGTGCTTGAGGTTTATAATCAGGGCCTCAACACACGGTTTAGGGTTTAGGGTTTAGGGTTTAGGGTTTAGGGTTTAGGGTTTAGGGTTTTGGCTCCTTATCATAATGATAGTATAGCATACCCCCCCAAACCCTGTTCTAATTATTTTGGGCCCTATATCAGGGGTTTAGGGTTTCGGGTTTATGGGTGTAGGGATCGCAATGTAAACTACATACCTTTCTCGGTTCTCTCGAAGCCCAAAGACAAAGCATGCTAACCAAATCGTTGCGAAACCCGCTTGGCAGCAATATTGACCTTTGAAACCTATAAAGCATCTACAAACGCAAAGGAACTTATTTTACACAGCACAACTCTGCAAACACCGTGAGATCTTGTAAACGACGCGTAAAATCAGAGTTACACTACATACCGGAGGCCCAGGGGACTTAGTAAGTCAGTTAGGGTACTTAAAACTCTACTTATCACCTACTTACTAAGTCCCTGAACCTCCAAGTAGTCAACTTCTACAGCCCTGGAAAATGCCGCCTTTAATCCGGAGCTTTCCGTCAGGAGCTTCGAAAGAAGTGGCTCCTCGATCGACTGCTGACCTACGAGCTTTATGTGCCGAGCTTAGTATTCAGGTGTTCTTTTGTCGAGCTTAGGGCTTCTTTTTTTATCGAGCTAAGGGCTTCTTTTTTTTATCGAGTTTAGGGCTTCTTTTTTATCGAGTTTAGGGCTTCTTTTATCGAGTTTAGGGCTTCTTTTATCGAGTTTAGGGCGTCTTTTATCGAGTTTAGGGCTTCTCAGGGTTCAGGGTTTTTTGGGGTTTGGGGGAACTGTTCTATGAGGGATTTGCGGGGTTCGAACATGGGGTCCCATAGGGGTGTGGTAGGTCTCATGCTTCATATGGGGTTAGAGTTCGGCTTCGGGGTGTACGTGAAGTTGAATTGAGGTAGTTTTAGGGTTCAATCACAAGATTCTAGAAGAGTTCTAAAACGGGTCCTATAAGGGCTCTATGCCAACTCTAAGCAGGTTCTATCAGGGCCTTCTTGGGGTCTTGTAGGTGCTCTGGACTCGAAGGAGGTTGATGATTGCCCAGACAGCCCAATACCCCTTAACTAGGGAATATAGCTTAGATCATAAATATGAAGCCCCTTATAGTTTAAGGTACTCAATTAAGGGGTATTGGGCTCTCTGGGTGGGGCTCAGGCTTGATTCCGGGTTTAGAACCAGTTTGGACGTCGAGAGTTCATGGCTACTTGGAGGTTCATGGGTAGTTATAAGTGGGGTTAAAAGTCCCCTAATATGGGTTATAAGTACAGTCCCCTAATATGGGTTATAAGTACAGTTACCTTACTTATAACTCCAGCTATGGCTGCCCATGAGCCTCAAAGTACTATGGACCCTAAACTCTAAATTCTACACTCTAAACCCTAAAACCCTAAAACCCCACAGCCCTAAAACCCTAAA